AGGAAGATAGAGAGGAAAGGAGGGAGGGAAAGAGGGAGGGAGGGAAGCAGAGAGAGAGGGGGGGAAGGAAGGAGGGAGAGGACTGGTCTGTTTGCAACAGCCACACGCCTGAGTCGACATGTTTGCTTTCTGAACAGTCCCCGCTAACCGAAATCAGGGTTGATGATGCTTCCTTTGGACTTCTTAAGGCTGGCTTTTGGCAAAAGAAGGACAAGTAGCTAGTAGCTAGTAGTGTTCCAATAGTTGAGGGGCTGCCGCAAAGAAGCAGAGGGGCTCAATTTGTTTCCCGAAGCATCAGAAGGGAGGATATGAAGCAACGGAAGGAAACTAATCCAGGAGAGAAGCAACCTGGACTTGAGGAGAAACTTTCTAACAGGGAGGACGATGAACCAGTGGAGCAGTTGCCTTCTCCAGAAGCCGTGGGGGCTCCACCACTGGGGGCTTTTAAGAAGAAGAGAAGAGAGACTGAAGAGACTGGACAGCCACTTGTCTGAAATGGCAGTGAAAGGGCAGTGGTGGCTAACCTTTTCGGGCTCCTGTGCCAAAAATTGTGCGCACGCTTGCACATTCGCAGACCAGCACCCAGAAGGCAATGCGCGCACCACCCTACGCCCCTGTGCATGTGCGCATAATCATGCCCCCTTACCTGCACTGTGCCTCCCAGCTGATTTTTTTCGGCCCGTTTGAGGCCTTTTTCGGCCTCCTAGAGGCTTGAGGAAAGCTTCTGCAGGCTTTGCAGGCCGAAGAATGGGCCCATTTTGTCACTTCCGGTATTTCCGGAAATACAGGGAGTGATGAAACGGGCCTACTTTTCGTCCTGCAAAGGCTTTCTTCAAGCCTTTGGGAAGCCAAAAAGGCCTCAAACTGGCCAAAAAACAGCTGTGAGGTGCGTGCATGCGCAATGAGTTAAGTTTGCCTGCAGCTCGCTTGCCAGAACAAATGGCTCTGCGTGCTACCTGTGGCAGGTGGGCCATAGGGTCACCATCACGGGTATAAGGTCTTCTGCTTGAGCAGGGGTTGGACTAGAAGACCTCCAAGGTTCCTTTCAATGCTGTTATTCTCTTATTCTGTCATCTTGAGATCTGCTGGTTTTGGTTTGGAGAGATTCTCTCAGAGCTCTTTCCAATCTGTTTTTTGTTTTACTACAGATGCAACGATTTGGAATCGATTTCGGCACACTTGGCTTCCTCCCCTTCTCCATTTACTCCAGAATGTTTATAAACACGGGCAAAACTATTGTTTGCAAGATCGCTTCCTTGGGGACTCCACTCCAGTTTGAAAACGGCCCATGGATTTGTTTGGCTGCATAGTCTGCGGACCCGAAGTTACCATAACGATCAAAACAAGTTTCTTGAAAACAATTCAACAAAGAGGAAACGTCGTAAAAAAAAAAGCAATCAAACAAAGCTCCATAAATGTCAAGAGCTACGCTCGCCTGTGGAGGGATCAGATCCAAGATCTTCTAACGAAGTTTGGGATGGCCTTGTTTTCTTTTTAGATCGAACCTTTGGTCTGGATTCCTGTTTGCTGTTCTTTAGCAGGACGTAGGAATTCCTGTCTTCTCAAAAAAAAAAAAAAACCTGCTATTTGATGTGGAGTTTTATTCCCCAATCACCAGTGAGCAAAGAAGGAACTGGGGTAACTAATCCAGGAGATAAGCAACGTAGAACTAAGGAGAAATTTCCTGACAATGGGAACAATCTTATTTAATAAAATGAAATTCAATGTAGAGAAGAGTAAAGTCTTACTCTCAGGCAAGAAAAACCAAAACTATACAAATAAACTGGGATAAACCAGACTTAATAGCAGTAGCTGTGAGAGGGATCTTGGAATCTTAGTGGACAACCAGTTAAATATGAGCGAACAGTGTGCAGCGGCAGCCAAAAAAGCCAATGCAATTCTAAATTGCCTTAACAAAGGGATACAGTCAAGATCAAGGGAGGTATTGATACCATTCCATAAAGCCTTAGTAAGACCACACCTTGAGTACTGCATCCAGTTTTGGTCACCACACTATAAAAAAGACTAGAAATTGTGCAGAGAAGAGCAACCAGGATGATGAGGGGACTGGAGGCTAAAACTTATGAAGAACTGGGCCTGGCTAGTCTAGGGAAGAGAAGGACCAGGGGAGACATCATAGCAGTCTTCCAATATTTGAGGGGATGCCCCAGACAGGAGTGGGGGTCAAGTTATTTTATAAAGCACCTCTAGGCTTTAGGAATAATGGATGGAAACTGAACAAGGAGACATTTTCTCTTAGTTTTCCAACTTTTGTCTCTTTTTCTATTTTTTATCTTATAATAAACTTTAATAAAATACCGAACAGAGGCGTAGGTGAGCAGAGTTACAACTGAAATCAGGATGAGGTCCACAACTTTT